ACACAAACCCTCCCACGGGACCTGCCCAGGCCTGCTTTTTCCGTATTATACCACTATTCGTATCTGACGCAAATGGCGTGATATGTACACACACATTGAACTATATCGCAAATCAGAGGTGTCTACACCTTAGTTCAAATTTTTGCCCGGTACATCAGTGGATGGCATGAGATGCCCTAGTGAGTGTCTCACAAAGGCGGAACGCCATTTGCTACTATGTATATATATAATATAAAAATATATATAAATATTAAAAAATAATGTATATATATATAATATAAATATACGTGAAGAAACGTCTCAGAGAAGGGGAGAGAATAACATGTGGATTTAAGTAATTTCGGTAGACGTTCGGATGTAAAACGCATTGCTCGTAAAAGTCCGATTTTGTCCGTGTGAACGATGAGACAACTTTTAGTAACTGGTTACCCTGACTCGGCCAACACGGCAACAAATTTTATTTCCAGCTACATGTCACCCCGATGTCGACTTATCGATTACTGACCTCATTAGTGTGCTCACTACTTGCCAAAGTTTTCCACCACATGTGTACTTATACGGGGTTGGACGACTGATGATGCGTTGATATGAACATGGGCGCATCCACAGTGTAGATAATCACGGACCTGCCTCTAATGTGAGTTACTCGAAGCGAAGATCTATCTTGGACTTATGCTAAGACGGGTATCTCGGTCGATTAGACAGATGAGTATTACCCACAGCCAATCCATTAGAACTTCGTCACTCATTTCGAGCAATACCAAACTTAATGGTTAATGACGCAGGAGTCGATACATGCGTACATCAACAGTGCTGGGAGACATAATCCTCTCTACGCATACTAAGTATCGACCACATACCCATGAGAACATGGGCACACCGGTAGGTTGGACATCTCGATTGACTTTTTCCATTTCGCTTCCCTTCGAGCATCCCGAACACGGAACGCTCTCCCATCGTACGTCATATCGCCCCCAGAGCCCCGTTAATCAAGATGACTTGACGAAACGCAATCCTATTTGCATGACTGGGCAGAGCCCGTTATAACAAGATGAAATAACGCGAACCAGTGTATGCACCAGCTCCTTCAGTAACGCAGCGATGGAGAAACCCGAGGTTATAGCCTGTTTTTCCCATCATCTTAATCCTTGGTTACTGTGATGGTAAGATACTGCAGCCAGGTTGCCTATCGAACAGCGAATTGAACGAATTTGGGCAGATGTTCTAATAGCTGAGAGATCGCCGCTAGCTGAATAACGCCCACACGTGGGAGCGATAATCGCTTTGTAAGCTCGCACGATGAATCGGCTCCATCTATGAAATGGCTAAGGTTCCACCAGAGGTACTCCTATCAAGGAAGACCAACTCGAGATCGCTTAACGGAGTGCAGATTGCCTTATAAATGGTAAGGTTATTTCGAATAAAAGTAGATTATGATCGCAGTCCATACTTCCTTTGAGATGGTTGGAGGGCGTTACATGACAATTACTAGAAACTCGCTCCTGTCATACTACGAGAACTGCAAAGCACATGCTTTTTGTTTCGCCATAAATCCCTGTCCATTGTTGTTCATTCAGTGCTGGTGTGTACTCGAAATGTGCGCGCACCAACGCCGAAAATCACGTACCTGTCTCTATTTCAATGGCTCCAATACATTACCATTATGTATTACACGTCATGTGTAAATACTTAAATGTTAAAGCTGTATGTGTGGAGCCGTGTATTTTCCATACTGGTTCATTAGTAGTTTCCAATCCGTTTGGATTGTCCGTCACCTAGATAGAATTCCCAGTAAACATTAGCAGAGGTAAAATATAGGACCCTGGATTCCGCCTTTAATTGCAATTTCACCGCATAATGGATCGGCGTCATGTGTGTCTGGATTCGCCTGTCATTGCGGTCTCCATGGAACAGTCACAGGACGTCTGTGCATACATAGGGATCATGGGTGGTCTGCGCTGCACCACCCACAGCTTCATCCAGACACCCTATATCTGGTGTAAACCTGAAGGAATGAGACCGGGAGACATGTGGATGGGAGCCATGTTTCATCAATGGAGCCGGCCCACACTCCTTCAACATGTACTGCAGCAGCATTTCTGTCTATCTGTGTAGGGGATCATGCGTACCAGACGTACACAAGGCGGTGGCTGGGCTGTAGTCCGCTCCACACTGGATGGAATCAATTTTTGAGCCTAGCACAGCCACGCGGACCGTGCACCCAGCCCCCCCCCCACAGCAGATTCCCAGTCTCCTGGAGCCAGTATAATCGAGGTGGAGGGTAATCGACAGGTAGACACCTTGTCAACATACAAGCGCAGCCGGGCGTTGCATATCGCACGGGAGGTTTCATGTGTCAAACGCACGTCCGATAGACAATCAGTCGAGATTATCCTGACTGAGACGGCAGAGCACGTCATATGCTTCATCAACCTCAATCCTGGCAACTGCACAATGGAAGTTTAAATCCAGCAAAAGCACGTAAGCTCACATGCATCTGTCCACACTTTTGTATGAACTACCACAAACTGAATGGAAAAATATTAACCCTCATGGACAATAATACTACGAACGTGCATGGGAATTGGAGGTAAGACTAACAACCATAGTCGTCAAGTTATGAGAAGTCGCACGTACAATAACCAGTAGCCAATACGAATTGTCCGTGGTTACTTAACTTTTAGACGTGAACCTAAATGATAGCTTTAAATTTAGTCTGATGCGTAGGCAACAACAATAGATAGAGACAGATATGGGAATAGGGAAGCAAATATCATCAATACGATTACCAAGTGGAACGATATGAAAATAAGAGGTACAATGAAACAGTGATGACTAACGGTTGACGTGTATTGTAGATACTGTCTCCTATATGTGAAGTCAGGTTTGCAACTAATGAAAGTCACACAGCGGGAGAAGGCAACGGAGAGTTAACTGCAGTCTCTCCGTGTCGCCGGTTAAGATTAGACCGGTCCGATCGTCTCCTGTCCGAGGTACGTACGGATTCCCGAAGAACGTCTCTTCCTCTAGCTTAAGCATTGGCAGGTAGCAATACCAAACATTCGCTGATGGCCTCTTTGGCGCGACCACAACAATAATAAATCAAACATTCGGCCTTTCAAAAAGTACTCAAGCTGTTTAGCAAATTTTCAAGAAGTAGCATGGCTCTCAACCAAGCACTCAAACGTTTGTTGATGTAGTAGTGTACTCTGGTGTGATGAGAAGCTATTTGATAACGATCTGTTATCGTACGTCTCTGGTGCAGCCATTCGGCGTTTCTAGACAATCGCCGCTGTGCGCTGACTCCTTTCCGATGAAATACACTCAATCACTAACGTACCATCACAGTCGACCTTATCTTCTTTAGTCTACTCAAAAGATTGGTTATTTCTAATTCCACTTCTAGCAGGAGCCTTTGTTCTTTCGCCTCCAACCCCGATAATAGAACACTTTTCATAAGCGCAGCTACGCTCAGTATAGCGGATGAACAACGGGAAATATAGCTATGCTCGCTCGCATGACTAACATGTGGTACGGAACTTGAAGTACCAACATCGTGGTCATCGCTGATTAGTTAATTGTCGGGATTGATCACTTTCCACGTATTTACCAGGGCGACTTTCCTTGGGAAGCATGGTCCAACGTGGCCACACGAAGGAAAATCGTTGAGTCTTGTGTTCCAAATTTCTAACTTTACACCAAGCGAGGAAGCGTTGTTTTATGGGTACTGTAAGCGACTAAGCGCTTGGAGGCTTTAATTCACGCGTATTCACAGGACGCAAAACGACTAAACATAAATCCGTATAAACAACTCAATTCGCTCGGAAGACTCAGCGATATAGATTCAATTGACACACATGCACACACGCATAATGCGATGGACTAAATAAATCTCCCCAAATCCCTCCGCTCATGAGTAATTCTTACAAAAATATTATTGTTATTGCATTGTACTACCTGAGTCAAGGTAAACGGACTCACTGCACTTAAGAGTTTGAAGCACAGTTGATCAGCTGAACTGGGCTGACCCGTGTCCCCGAAGGACCCAACTTTAACCGAGGATTCAATACCATGTACATCCATCTAAACTTCAGTTTGTGACCTTGTCGATTATCCCAACGTGAACTGTAAATATGGCGTACGGACCGTTCTAATCTAACGGCAAAATATAAAAAGGGTAAAAAAGTGAGCGTTGACACATTATTCAGAAAGAGACTTCTCCGGACGCCTAGTAGGGCATGTATTTGCTCTCTATGGTACGCTATGTTCATATTGATATTTCGTCAGTTGGGGTCTGAAAAGAGTCCTTCTGGTACCACAATGGAGCAGTTGTCACACATGAACAGCTTGCAGTGGTCGAGTCACGTTTTACGTGTACCCACGAAGTTCCTACCTCAGAGTGCGCTAGTTGTGTCTAAGTTGCATCTAAATGGACGAAACCGCGGGTCAGTCGGTCTATAACGTGGTAAAATGACATGGATAAACTGATTGGGAGGCCTATTCAACTTCCGGGATGGTGGCTTCGAGATCGACCAGATAATTACTTAGATCTTGATCGGCACGATGCAGTCGAGGAATTAAGTACATCCCTGTATTACACCTCTACATCTCGCTGATAGGGTTCAAACCGGATTGAGTTTATCCACTTTTATCTCCCAAACTCTGCATTTAGAGACTATTTTACGGCCTACCTCATCTCTACAGATCATTTTCAATGATTGCTGTGATGGTATCGCAAATCGTGTTAACGAGATGCACCACACTTCGGTGTTGAACTGAACCAAATGGATTACCGGACACTCTTTAAACAAGCAGAAAAAAGACGATATTCCGGTATTAGGCAGTTCAAGCTGACTGCATCTCTCCTGATCAAGATGAAAGTGGTGAGCCATCACCGAGTAGAATGCGGCCAACTTGTGAACGTCAGTCTGGATTCGCTTCGGAAGCCGTGACAGTGAGTCAGCTGGATGCTGCTGGCTGACACACTGCTACACTGAAAAAGGACATAAAAATAGGCATGTAAAGCCGCATTATTGAGTTAGAAAAATATATTCAATATAGACATCTGACGGTAGTAAATATTTGAGAATCGTAGCTGAATCACTGAACATTCAGTAGGGTTCAGTGTCACTCGGTTCAATGAGGTCGCCATCTGGATCGGACTCATCTTCACCAGCATCACACACTTCTTCTTCTTCTTCCTCTTCCTCCTCCTCCTCTTCATCCAAATTGGCTGGTTCAACGCGGGCCACCACAGATTCATCGTCAACGCCGCACTCGGATTCACTGTCCAATTCAGACTCGGGTGTCGTGCCCAGATACTCCCCAGGTAACGATTGTGATCGACTACGTCTGGCGGCTGGTCTGGGCGGGGGTGCAATTGCGTTCGACGAACAAATAGTCTGACTTGACTCATGAGAGTCTGCGATGTCGTCAGGAACTTCCATTCCATGAAGATCACGGTTTTTCAATGTTCCCAACCAGAATGCCTCGGCGCATCGATGTTGCGAAAGCATCACCTGATAAATGTTCAAACCGTGGATGGAAAACACATGAAAGGAACTCGGTGACATACTGAAATCAGATCAGTAACTGCTCATAACAAAAGAACTGCTTTGGCAAAGAAGACGATGCGCGTGGAGTGCAGTTCGGTTGTCGATAGCCCCACCAGAGCGTAGGCCCCATTCGGTGGTCACCACTATTTGATGAGTTGACGAATGCGGTTTGAGACAAGCGCACCATCAACAACAGTAAACTAGTAAGACGTACCGATGCGTCGCTCAAAAACAACCACACAGCCTAAATGACTGGGCAAGCAGTAGGGATCAAAACGCCCACAACAACTGCTCACTGTACGAAAATAACATGGTCTCGCTAAGGCAGATAACTTTGGGCTTTCCCTACCCCGAGTCATAAGTAACCTCGTAACACATAAAATACAACACAAGACACAAGCAAATGAGATGATGGAAAACATGCCAACGAGACAGGCTGTCAGCCATGTCATGAAAAATCTCGAGAGATGAACAAGGCGGATCGCCTGAATTCTTATCTGGAAAGTTGGAGAAACCAACTGCACCCAAACTAGTGGTCAGTGCTCCGATGCGCGCTAGAAAACTAACGAATACCATCCTCGCAATTTCATCCAACCTAGACTTGGTAAACAAAACAATACCCCCATGGATAAGTGGAGTGCGGGCATGTGTAGCTTCATTTGTTGACCTAAAAAACTGACCTGACCATATGTGCAGCTCGATGCTGCAGGCACACTGGCGTCAACCGCGAGCAACGGTACGCAAAGACTTGAGCGTGCCTGACATCCAGGATGAAAAAGTCGTTTCACTACCATTGGACCACAGCGGACCTTGGTGAGATCCTGCATACACGGATTTTCAGATCAAAGGAAGCTTATTTTAACAGCAAAAAATTGCAGACGCAGGAATGCGTCTCAAGTTTGTGTAATACATGAAAAACTTTCAGCAGCCGTCGGCGTAGATAAATTGAGTAAACATATCCAGTCACTTCTTACCAAGCCTCAAAGGGTTGCCAAGTGCCTGGTGATTCTGCGACAGCCCGTTATAATTTTAGGGCACATGGCGAAAGAACAGACTAGTTCATAGAGCTTTCTTAGCGTTGGCTGCGTCGCGCCCAATCGTAAAATAGCAGTACGGGTCACGACGTTTAGAACGTAGGTGAGACAGACAAGTGACTCACAATGCCAGTGTACTGCGTGGCCACTATGCAGGACAGAGACGTGAAACACAAAGGTGATAGCCATGAGAAAGCAATCAAAGCCTCATCAAATAGACGATAGCTAACAACTGCCATGTCACTAATTGTTTTTCCAAAATGATAACAGAGTGGAGAATTTCGGAGCTGCTCTCTCCAAACTGACCGGATTCCTCCTCGTCAGGTAGAGATGGCCTGAGCTGAGAGGGGAACCCGACACAGTGATTGACGGTTTTCGTTTTGGTTACTAAGCCAGAGCTTCCCGAGCAGCGCTTGACACAGCGGTTAGAAGTTCATTGTTGGGTCTTGGAGTACCTGCCGTATATCAGGACTGCGATACGCAGTCTCAATTGAGACCATCGCTTACTTTGAAGCAAATCTGCAATTTCGATTACTGGGACCCCATCCGTAGTGGAGAGTTTCGGAGGTTCTCTCAAAACAGCACTCCACGACTGACCGGTTTCGTCCTGATTTGGACTCATCAGATAGAGCTGAGCTGACATGGGAACCCAACACAGTGGTTGACGGTTTTCGTCTTGGTCACTGAGTCAGAGCTACGACATCCAACAATGATAAAACATTCCTTTTGAAAGGCCTGATCACTGGTTCAGATGAAACACGACCTGCAAAGAGTAACCCGGAATATCGATGATGCTGGTGGATAGAGGACGTTGATCGACCCCCGAGGAGTACTTTCATCGACAATGAGGCATGAATCGCCTAGCTTCTCCCTGATGACCGCTCCTTGATCAATGAGTAGATGTATATTACCAATGAGTTAAGTTGGGTAGATAATTTAATATAACTAAACAAATAAGTTGTTCTCGAATGCATCGAAGCACACTAAAATAGTAAACAGCATTCAAAAGGCTGGACTGTCATGGTTGAATGAAAGAACGGTTTCGGTAAAATGACCACATAACTATTCACATCGGCGTAATCAGCATTCCTATAACATACAACCCCTAGCACCCAGCAATAAACGGGTGCAGAGAAAACTAGAAGAAAGCGTTTGGCCGTTGAACATGCATCAGAAGTCGCCGAGGCCCCACTAAGTGAGAATGAGCCATCACTCACCTTGACCCGGTAAACAAACGTCTCTAAGCAACGTCGAGTGGTTGGAATCTGATTGGTCAGCTGCGATTCTCTGTGCGCCTTGGCATGTGTGCACACACGCTGTAAAAATCGAGTCAGAGTTTGAACATTCTTCAAGAAGGTCACCACTTCAACACCGCGCTGGCTGTGTGAACAAATAACATTTACGCGAGACATGAGTAATGCACCCCCACAAGGCGCAAGAATGTAAAAGAGTGAAACTCCGGGTTTTCTTTAAAAAAATCCACTGGATGGAATGATATGATAGTCAGATGAAACGTCTGTGTGTCTGAACACTAAGTTGTGGAATAGACTCAGAGTCAATCCCAACATGTGCAACACTGAAGTAAATCTGGATCATTTAAATGATTAGGATCTGTACTGAAATGAAAATGTTTTCGATCCCAGAAAGAAAAATGAAATCCGCAAGTTCAAAGCATGAAATTATTTCGATCCTTTCTTCTTCAGACCCATACAATAATAAAAATGGGAGTAATGTTGGCTTTCATTAGTTAGTGGTTACATCATTTAAAATGATCGATCAAAAGAAAGTTATACAAGAAACCCGTAGTAGAAAGAATGATACACAACTTTCACAGCTTCAGCCCACTCAACGGCAAGAAAATGTTGGTGTGCACCTTAACGGACCTTACAGACAAAATCTGCAGCGAAGGCGAATTCGTGAGAATCAACAAAGGGCTACTTGAGAACGGATATGCGGAGTACTTCATTGACGCCAATATGAAGCGAAACAGTCCGAAAATTGCGATGCAAACGGTCAAGTAGAAACGGCTGATTCTGACTCCCTCTTCAAATGAAACCATACTGCTGAAGTCTACACGCGTAAAGAATCAAGGAACACCTCTGAGTTGGCTCAATGATTACAAAAATAAGGTGAATAGCAGCGCAATAACTAACCATTTCCTCAACACCGGTCATCGAATTAGTAGTTTTCCAAATTATCTACGAAATACCAGCAATGCATAGATATGGACTATGAGCGAGGTTGCTTGCTACTACGGATGCGGTAAGCACACGGTCTACGAGGCCCGACCTATGCGTACAAAAGAAAGTGGCACAGTTGTTACAACTCCCATGGTAGGCAACCGGATGGGAAGGATACGAACACAATCAGCAGTTTCACGTGACTTCGACCATATGACCAGCCGTCTGACATCGTGGTCGCACTTTAAATAATCTAAGCAACTGAATCGCTTTGTACCAACGGAAGAAAGCCAACATTGCTCCAATGATTGTTTTCATGTAAGTTTGACGAAGAAGTAATCGAAAACAATTGTTCGCTTTTAATCCATCAAGCTTTTTCGTTCGGTGACAGAGGATAAATGTGGGCATCTTACCCAACACTGTCTTCAAGAGCGAATTTTGTCCCTGCTTTAATTCTTCAGGTGGAGATAGTTGACCGGTTCCGAGTGGAATCTGGGACGTAGCGGGTGATGGTTGACGCCTTAATCAATAGGTACAACAATGAAGAAATTGTCAATGGGTTTTTTGGGCCGCTAGCTTCAGAGAACAGCTAGTGAAAGCCGTTGATCAAGTCCCGTACCGTGATATCTGTGCCACAACTGATTGTCTCACATCACTGAGGAAGTTACCTCACGTAGCAGCAAGAAATTTCAGAAGCTTAACTATCTATGGTGATGGTGGGAAATCAACATGTCAGCGAATAGTAGGGTGGATAACGCTGCGATAAGGCTTGTGTCAGTGTATGGGTCGAAGACCTGGCCAGTTGCCAGTGAAGACATTACAAGACTGGCCGTGCTTGATCGCTGCTATTTGCAGTGTTGCTCACATCTAGTGGGAACACCAGATGAGCAGTGCTTTGGTGCGCCAGTTGGTTTTTAGTATGGAGCCTTTCCATGTCCCACTGGAGTATTTGCTTGGGGTTAACATCTTAGGTTGGCTAGATCAAGTCCACCCATTGGCTTCCTCGTCGTGCATCATATGCCACCACTGTATCGAGTTTGGTGAGACTGCGAGATGGCCAGTGGATTATGTGGAATAAAGATATGAAAATACTGACTAAGAGACTTGGTGCCGTCTTGATGGATGAAAGCCTCAGGATAATTCACACCTGTGGTTAGAAACTCTACGAACATGGCGCAGTTAGTGGCGTTCTTGCATTCGCGTTTTTGTATCTAGCCAGTAGCTACCCTTCACCCTCCCACCGACTGGTTCTGCGCACTCGTACTAGATCGACTTTTTTCGTACTTCATTTGCCCCCAACTTCACTCTCCTACCGCTGTGATTTAGTTATTGTAGTGAAATGAATTATGGTAATTGGATCCACCGCATTCCGGGTTTCGGAGGGCCAATGATACAGTTGCGTTGTGACGTACAATGTCAATTTGGGTCTCGCTCTTGTACTTACGAGTAAACGACTAACATTCCGATGACTAGAACCACAGACGAAGTAATGGCTCACAGAACTCCATTAATCGTTACGCGTCATGTGATTGGCATATACAGCATGTGTCGGCCACTGGCCGAAAGGATTACAGGCATGTATTTTGATCCGGGGGTCACCGGTAAGAAACCGCCTAGGTACGGGCGCCCTTGCAGTGTACCCAGCCCACGCGCGACTAGTGGTGGTTGCGTGGCGGCGAAGCGTACTGCTGATGGATTTATCAGCATCTTACACATCGCATGTAACCATGTGAGAAACTAGTAACAATGGATCCCGGCACTCCTGCGGGAGCGACTATCATAGATGGGAGAATTGAAGCACTCACTTCATCAAAAAGGAAGTTGCACTAACGATTTTACCTAGCCTAGTGACGAAAGCTAAAGCACACGGAGATTATCGGAAGAGCAAAAAGCTGCCAAGCACGTGAGTCCACTAAAGCCAGACATTCGAAGCAGTACTTGGTCAATGAGCACTTGGATCTTGAAGTGGCTTATGAGGATCGGCGAACCAGGCCCTTGGAACCGAACTGATGTTGACTAGTCTGACAACAAAACGACTGCTCAGCTCAGAGAACAGCGCAAAATTCACATCTATACCACGAGCTACGGACATGCTCGACGAATTTATCGTCATTGTCGCCAGGAAGAGAATGAAGAAAACCAGGACTATCGAGAGTTTGAGACAAGGATAGCAGGCGGGAACGAATAAGAATAGCAGAAAACAGTGACAAGTGGTAAAACGGCCAAGGCACTAGTTGTATTGCATTATGGGCCGGGCTTCACACAAAAAGAGCAACCGAGCAAGCAAGGCTGCGCAGAGTAGTGCTGGGAGCAGACAAAGCCGAAAAGGTCTCTCTAATTCGAACGTAAACCAAGTGAACGGATGAACCGAGATTTGCTTCACAGTAAATGGCGGTCTAACTAAGCGTCGCAGTCCAAGCACACTTGGGGTAATCCAGAGTCAAACGATGAGGTGCAGTGACTTTCTCCAAGTTGTTATCATAGCACAGTGACCATAAGAAGTGCAGCAATGAGTGGATAGGTTCCCGACACGTCGCGCATCCCCAGTTTATCGGGCTTACCGTAGAAAGACAGGTGCAAGAGGATCGGACTGTACAGCACCGCTCACCGTCGATTGTGAGTCTACCTCACAATGCTCTACCGCAGTCCAAGTGAGTTCCCCATGCTGAGGCCACTAGTTTGGGGCACACGCAGACACAAGTATAAGCTTGTGGTTCTAGATCTGAAGAGGGTTTCACATCCGCTGTGCTTCGAACGGCGGAGTGGTCCATGTTTGGAACAGTTTGTCGGAGCATATCGTGGAAGCAAACTCAGTGCAGCAGTTCAAAACATTGTTGGATGTACATTTCTCTAGTGTTCGATTCCGAGAAGGATTACCCACTGACATCTGCATTTGGGAGTCCCAATTTACTGTTATACGTTTTCTGTACGATATCACTTGGAAACTGGAAAAACGATCATTGTGTTGACAGATCATAGATAGTTATTTTAACGTTTTTGATCATATTTCGATTGAATCGTACAGGCTTAAATTTCTACTTGCTCCCTACTACAGTATTTGAGCAATTGTAATTACTGATAAGAGCAAAAATCTGATATGATGCAATAGGCTCACCGAAATAGGCTGTTGAGCACCGGCATAGCTCCTTTGAGAAGAGATTGTAGGAATAAGCGACAAGTGCGCATCATACTAGGTAAGAAGTTCGTCATAATCCGAGTGTTTTGGTTACTGTCTGCAACTTCGCGTCCACGGTCACTGTTGCGTCGGGACAATTGAAGAACATTTACTAACAATCCGAGGATGACGACACATTCATTCCAGTTGGATAGCAGTAAACATTCGTTGTCTTCATCACGAGCATCAGCAGATGTCTCGGTCGAGCACAGTTGTTTGGTCATCCTATAGGTAATGAGACAAGTGCACAATGAAGCGTGACGGTCCATATGATACAGTGTCCGAGGACTATATCCACAATGAGTGGCACCAAAAATGGTTATACACGGAAGAACTCGAGTAGAAAATGTGTTGAGATTATCATATACATGTTGCTCTTGGGCATTACATGCATCATCTCGGGAGGTAGACCATTCGTAATCCTTTAGAGACCAGCCAGAAAGTCTAGAAGGCAAACGCGTATACTAGTGAGGATCGCCCAGGTATCTGGATTAGCACACTCCTCGTGGTTAACCATAAGCGAATGAAACTGCGTACTGAGCGAATCAAGCCTACACGCACTGACTCATCCAGTAAAACAGATTCGTGGATGGTCTTCAGGATAATCCGACCCGTAGCTTTAAGGACCACAAGACTGCCTTGTGGAATCGAGCCAGCGTAGGAACCGGGCGACCCTCGCAGTATCCTTGGCCCACGAGCAAATAGCGGTGGTTGCGCCGTAGCGAAGCGCCGGTACTGCTTGCGGGCGTACTCACTGCTGCCTTTATTTTCCTCAGAATAGAGTAAGTGAGGCGAAGCGCGCGCTTGAAGACAAGTGCCCATGAATTAACACGGTTGCACTCAGGATAATTGAAATTGCAAGGTGGATTGGCATGAAAGTCGAAATGGTATATTCAACTAGTATGACATGAGAATCCGATGACCGTAGATTTCATTAGAGTGTGATTCAAATGCCAGGCTCGTATTCGACCAGTCAAGAATTCGAGGCTGCGTCGGTGAGAGCGACTTGGCAGTATTCCAGCTCAGATGCAATCACACTAATGATGATGCAGCACAGTTGCATGGTACTGGCGCACCCCTGATAACCTCTCATTGTGTCTGAAAATGTGTAGTAAAAACAAGCACATTGGAGAAGTAAAGCTTCCTATCACATAAAGCCCAATCTAAACTAGTACCGAGCTGGAAATCGCAAGGGAAACAGTGCAAACAAGGATCGGTAAGTGGATAAAAATCAAATGGATTCTAGACACACGCTTTCAAAATCAGTTTTGTCTCTCCTTTCTTCGTGTACGGACTGACTAGGTGGTGGGAGAGAAACATGGATCCCTGATCCCTGTACTTACCTTCTAGTGAGACGACATGGATACCCGGTTAATGCAGCTGAGTGGTACGAAATGCATCGATTATTTGAAATATTATAACTCCACTCCAGTCAGAACAAATGTTTGTCACCAAGAAGTCACTTGCTGCCGCAAGCTGTAGTGCAACCACCAGATCGCCAGGACGCAACTCTCAGGGCCAGTGGACAGCTAACCCGACCCGATAACCAATGGAAAACTGACTGTTAATACGTCTCCTACCGGGGTTCGATTCCCCGTCGAGGCAGATTATTGTGTGGAGTTTAATCGCGACTTCTACTTTCTACGAACCTTATGCTACTCACAAAACATCCTTCAAGTAATCTACCATCGCCCTTTGGACATCAGAAGGACAGTTACTTCGGTCCATTGGGAAGTGACGAGTGAGTGAGCCAATCTGCAACAACAGGACAGATATTGTGAGCTCATTGGCAATACGTCGCGCACCAAGCAGAAGTCATGTATTAAATTGCGCACCTAATCGTCAGCCCTCGGTAGCTCAGTGGTAGAGCAGCGGACCGGAAATTCGTTGGACCGGGGTTCGATTCCCCCGTCGAGGCAGATTACTGTGTGGAGTTCAATCGTGACTTCTACTTTCTACGAACCTTACGCTACCCACAAAACATCCTGCAAAGTAGGATAGTATCAGGTTAGTATGCGTAAGGGGACGAAAAGCAGCTAGATGAGACATGCAGGCACACGGATGTACACTGCAGGCGTTGTATGTCCAAAAAGACTTCGTAAACAACCATAGAGATAGTAAGAAAACAAAAGCCGATTGACGTAACAGAAGAGGAACCAAATGCCTGATGAGATGCTCGCAAAAAGCAACACACGAACCATAGAACGGAGTTCATCACTTCACGACAAAACACATCCACTGTCTGTTCGCTGAGCGCTTTGTACTCGTTCCAAGGCACAGAGGCAGTTTGTTCGCGATCATCGGGCTGACGGCCATGATATCGGCGTACCGTAGGCAAAATGAGACCCCGAGTGAAATCCAGCAGAAAAGTTGGAGATAGTATATTCGTGTTTGATCGAACAGATTTAGTGAAATTGGGGCAAATGCGCAGATGCATCGATAGCAAGCCTTGAAGACTATCGCGGAACGTGTGGCCTAAAAAAGGGGAAATGAAGCGCGGTCATTCGAGCGGCAAGCATTAAAAAAAGTCCCGCACATTAAATACATAGTGACAGGTAGACGGACCGTGAATATCCTAACAGTCAGACGGCTTAACTGGAAAAAGCGATTGGACCTCGTCGAGCAAAAATTGAGTAACACTGCGGAGTATTTGTAGGCAAGTAGCTTACCTCTCCATCGAACAGTCGGATCCCATTCGGTCTGCAACAGGGACTTGGAGTAGGAGAATAAATCCGGTAGCTGTAATCGCAAACACAAAAGCAGTATGTAACACAGAGTAAAAGGGGGATGCTACCGTTGAGTTTACAAATAACACAGCAGTGTACCATGGCAGATGGATGCTATACCGAAAGCAAAGCAAACAGGTGTACAAAATCCGATGTTTTTAGTTAGAATACAAGCCATGTGCTTGGACTGTGACACGCAGTCCCAACCCGGAACCATAGTACATCTTGAAGTAAGCCTACGTCATTCCGATCACTGGGAATTTAGTTAAAGTGGACAGTTGTTGGCGTTGAGCACTCACTCGCTCGCTCGTTGGTTCGCAACACTGTATTCCATGACGGTTTCGTCCTCAGCTAGTCATCAGCAACATCAGCTTCGTCATCAGTACACGTTATCTAAAGGTTACAAACACCGCAGCTATTGTGCCTCAATGCAAAAAAGAGGATATATGGAAAAAGCGAGATACCAAGTAAATACTACAAAATACAGAAAAAAACTAAAAACAGGTAATAAAACGCTTGGTATTGTATTATCCATCGGGTGTGAGATCGGGATTGGAAGGGGCAGCTAAGCGAGAAGGCGAAAGACAAACATAAACATAAACGCCACTGAGGTCGGCGCTTAGTCATGTCTACATCTGTATTCAAGCAAAGGTGTTCATCGTCATTGAGACCTCAGCCTGGCAATCAGGAGATATCAACTGACGCCAGTTTAGAAATGAGGGTCTACTCATCACCACTACTAGGAGTGGGACCAGGGATGAAGTGTATGATGGGTGACATATGTGGCGACCCTGCCAGTTCCCGACAGCAGTCCCTGTGGCCGGATCGTTGCCTTTTGAGGCGATCATTAACTTTCCTGTGACCATACTGCTTGTCGTGGAATCTCTCAAACTTAGCACACCGCGCTAATCACTTGTTTCGCACATCAGCGGATCGTCAACCAGACACATATTACATATTCGGCGATCTTGCATGCTCCCGACAGTAGTCTCTGAAGCTGGATCGTTGCCCTTGAGGGTATCATTGACTTTTCTGTGACCAAACTGCTTGTCACGGAACTTCTAGAACCGAGCACACTGCACTCATCAGTTGTTCTTCACATCAGAAGATCGAGGCTGACTGGGGCTACAATAGACACTGAGAACAACGCTTTTCAACAGGGGGATAATATAGCAGGTCCGAGCGTGACCTTTCAGTGAACCCTTAAGGTAAGGAAATCGTTGTGCTTCGGGTAGACGGCCATCGATTTTCCCTCTTCACTTTACCTTCACGTTTGGTTTACTCTGGTCCCTTACTACGTACAAAACTGATCACGCCTTCTTTGGTAGTTTTCGTGTAACATCAAGAGTATACATAATAAAATTTTTTCACCATTTGTATTTCCAAGCCCCTGTCGTTAATGACCAAAGAGCAATGATGGTCTTGCTATGTGAACTTGGAAAATACTGAGCGCATGTCAGGGAACGAAGTTACTACAGTGTTTGGCCAGCGTTGACTAGACCCCCTCTAGATTGTAAAGCAGTAAAATATTGTACGGGTAATCAAGACCAACCAATTCTTACACAGACAGCGTCTCCATGCCTGAACCATGGGATCCGGCAAGTGCACAACGTTGATGAAGCACACAACACCGAAGAGCTATGGGGAAAAAAACAACCCTAGCGAACGGTTACTGCTGCTGAGTTGAGACATCTGACAATTCGAACTGGACCACGGACGGATCCACAATGCTCCGATACAATGCACGCAGAATGCTCGCATAGTTATGGGAACACGTCGATATGCAGGTGCTTCGAGCCAAGCACAGAGATCAGTCGAATCTAATGCGTTCTTGGGACCACAGGACAGGTATGACATACTGGTATTACGAGAAGCACCGCCATTGCATCTGGCCTGTACAACTTTGGAGTCTGTTGCGGGTACGTCAAGTAACCCCAAGCAAAAATGCGCCAAAAAATCCAATGTGTGTGCTGCGAGACGCAGAATTCAATTCCTGCCCACAACGTAGCAGGATCGAGCCACTTCGAATCGGGTCGCAACTGGGCTAAAATAAACAATGTTCTTCCGTAAACCACCCGCCCAACGTGGTGATTCATCACCCACAAAATGAAGCACTGTGCCACTGTGATTTGGCCTTTGTGGGTCGTAAAAGTACTATTGGACGTCCGTTTCGTCGTCTATTGCGGGTGGTTGGGAATCGCGTGGTCACGTGAGCATGTGCGCCGCTCTAGCCGTGGGTTTCGTTGTCCGTTTTCGAGAGCTCAGCGTGTGAACCGAATACGCACGTGAACAGGGGCCGTGCTCAGGTTACGAGTAACTTTCATCAAAGCAAACGCGACCAGGTCTGCACAAATCCATTACAGAGTCGAAAACCTGTCCTCCTCTTTCATCTGGGATTAGCATTCGACAGTGAAGAGGCAGATAAGAAAGGAGATCCGCAATATTGTCGATAATGACGTTAGCAAAAGTGGTACGTCTCATAGTGTATATTACTGCGGTAACCGAGTTGTCCTCTAGATACGTTAGTTCATCCATGCAGTCGAGCCGGTTTCTGGAAACGTTACTCAAAACCGTCCATAGATAGCGCATGGGCGACAGAACTTGAATGAGTGACGTAAAATCAGTTAAGATCCGTGACAAGTTTAGTATATTAGTTACAGATAGACTGGAAGCTAATCAGCCTTGATTGTGGCCGCGCCTAGCACGGTACCAACTGGAATGCGCTGTAGGTGTTCCGCCCAACGACTCAAACAGTGCATCTTAGTGTAAACCTGAACGCCAGTGTTGTCACTAACTGTCCCACCGACAAATAAGCTCCTGTGAACAGTGGCGTGGATCAGTTTGGATAGTCTGCGGAGGCTGCTCGCTAAAAATTAGCGGATGTTGTACCTATCCACAAAAAGACCGGACCATTTGCTCCAACCATCATGGCATCAGGCACATTTGTGTCGCATCCAAACTGATCGTTGCTCTATTCTTGCGGAGGCTCAGCTGCGTAAAAGAACAGCACCTGCGTGAACACCAAGTTGCATTTCGCCCAGATCGCAGTTACGTGGATCACATCCTTACGATCCGCCGCATACTTGAACATCGCTATACGTTCAGTCGACCAACTGTAGTCATATTCTCGGACATTCGAGCCGCGTTAGATTCTGCTGACAGAGTGGCCCTTTGAGACCGCTTACTAAAGAGGGGGAAATCTGAGAAGTACATCAGCATTCTCCGTGACATTTACCGTCAAACTACGGGCCGCGTGCGAGTATATGGAGACTATTCGCCCCTTTTCAGTATAACTAGCGGCGTTAGATGGGGTTACCCAGCCTCTCCATTCTTGTTCAACTTTGCCATGGACGTGATCCTGGATACTGCTCTGGATAAGTCTGAGTCCTGCGGTGCTGAACTGCTCCCTGGTGACCGCCTTTGGGACTTAGAGTACACCGATGACATAGCTGTGATTTGCGAGTCCTCCGAAGCCGCTCAGCATGTGCTGCCTAGACTGGAGATGTCCACCCCCCAATTTGGGTTGACCTTTGCCCCTTCTAAATGCAAGGTCCTTTTACAGAAGCGGTAAAGTGCATCTGCTTCTCTCACACTTTCGGGGCATCCGCTGAAAGTGGTCGACAAATGCATTTACCTTGGGAGTTGTCTTAGTATTGGCGGTTTGACGGATATGATCCCCCTGCGTGTCTCCAAGGCTAGAGTCACTTCCGCTAAACTTCGTCATTTGTGACTTCTCTGTGACGTCAGCCTCGATCCCAAGTGACGAGTCTACAATGTTACAGTACGAGCGATTCTGCTGTACGGTTGCGAGACTTGACCCGTATGCAAAAGCGACGTTCAGCGGCTATCTGTCTTCGAGCACCGCTGCCTGCGAAACATTGCTGGTGTTCGATGCCAGCATAACATCAGTACTGAGGAAGTCCGTCGGCGAGTCTTCAAACCTAACAAACGCCGCCGACCGATTGACAGTATCGTTACAATGCGGAGGCTTCGCTGGTTTGGGCATGTGCTCCGCATGCCTACCCAGCGGCTACCATGACGTGCCTTACTTGCGAGCGCAGGCGTGGGGTAGAAGCGACGACAAGTAGGCCAGGGTAAAACTTAAATCCAATGTGTTAATGCGCAAACGCTGAAGCTGGCAGTTGTTGGGCGTCCCCGACTCCCGGGTTTGGGACCAAACGACGCCGAGCACATCTGGTTGCAAACGCTTCTGGATATGTCCAACGACCGTACGCAATGGTGCACTTGCTGTGAGACTGTTCTACACTAACACGTTTCCCTTTTCAATCTATTTTTATGTGTAGTGGCACCCAGCCGATTGTAATGTAATTGGTAAAGTGTCGAAGATTATATATATATATATATATATATATATATATATTCGAATGTACATACTCGCTGCTCCTACTGCCTCGAGCACTCCTAGTTCAAATAGTAACATTGTTATCTCAAAGATTCACCTTTAGTCGGCAAATGACAGATCAGTTGGTTGCAGTGGCAGAATCAGGGATTTTTCTCGTGGATTCGAGCATTGCAAATATCCTATCTTAGGTGCGCTGGAGGTTGGCAATGTCGATAGTAAAATATTTTGTGTCATAAGTGGTGGAAGAGTTTGCATTCCACCGAAACTCCATGTGCTTTGAGAAACTCCAGGTGGACGTATACGTCGTGCTAAAGCAGCTTCTCAGTCTCCAATGGAAGAAATCGCTTGGGGCGCTTCCAGGTAAAGGTTAAAGAAAATTTGCATCTGACCAAGGCCAAAGGAGAGTCGAAGCACAAGTTCGAATCGAGAGGCAGTCCAGGATGGAATCACATCATTCGGACATCGCATCCACTAGCTGAGGTTCTGAGGAGCAAAGCCGACTTGCTCGCACATTCACATCAACCCCAGCTAGTTGCATCAAGTACCAGTGAGCCAGGTTGGTGACAGACCGCATTCTTGACAACACAAAAACCGTAGTCCGTTGGCGTGTATGCAGTAACCACGAGCAAACAGAGTTTTGGGCCAGAAAGTGTGCCAATTTGAGATCATGGTATCAAGTCCGGTCCATACAGACGGCTTTTCATGGAAGTCCAAGCAACAAGCGAAAATTCAGCCCAAGAACTAGGAATAATGTCTAACCCATCTTTACCCGTGGTTGTCGAGGCCGCATACCCGGTTGCGCGCGAAGATGGTGCATAAGGAACAGCTTGTTCCCTTATCATATGAGTGGTGGATTCTAATCTCAGAAAAGTAGTAAACATAAACACCTTGAGCACCTAGTATGTGCGGTCTGTAGACCCACCAGTCCGTATGTCATATACACATAACGTAAAAAGCAAAGGGACGAGGAGAGTGTTCTTGTGAGTTCATCTGACGGCCGTATCATTCTGAGCACTGTTAAAATGGATGTCAGCACTACTGTTGGAAACTAAGGAGAGGATGCCGGTGGAGGTGATTCAATGTTGCTTCTCCCAACACCGAATCACCTTCGTTCCGGAGACGGTCCCTGCGATCGGAATGACGAGATTTCAATAGCGATTGGATGTCGCAATCCAATCACGCGATGGGTAATCCGAACCCAACTCGTATTTGGGAAGAGGAGAGGTGAAGAAAAGCAAACGGAAAAGAAAGTAATAAGGCAACCGTGACAGAAAACCATGATATAAATGCAGTACACAAAAATGGATGAATACATGAAAAATACCACCAAGGCATAGCCTGATATTGGTCTAGCATAAATAGCACTAGGTAAGGGATAACTGGTGAACGATATGCTCATGTTCGGACACACACGTTCTGACAAGATAAAATGAAGTGGGTGACTTGTATCGGTAAGTACTGCTGACGTTAGTCTCTTACAAGAACATAGGATGTGTGGTCACAAGTAGATCGACAAAAGTCTGCTTTGATACACCGCTGCATCGCTATCTGGAGATAAAATCTGAAGTCCTTATGCAACAGACCAGGAAAAATCACCGATGAGCAGCACGTCCAGTGTGGAAGAATACAGGCAGTGACAAAACGAAGTGATTTGGAATATTGGTAGCTCGGGAGGCTTGCTCAGTTGCTGTGGTGTTCTCCGAGCTGGGCAACTTGATTGCAAACGTTTCGCCACCTTTCGAGGTGGCATCTTCAGTGCGGGGTTGATAGCAGTTAAGTAGCAGTAGCAGTGCTACGTCTACTTAACTGCTATCAACCCCGCACTGAAGATGCCACCTCGAAAGGTGGCGAAACGTTTGCAATCAAGTTGCCCAGCGCGGAGAACTCCACAGCAACTGGACAAAAGGAAGTATCAACTCATGTACATAGAGGAAGCTCGCAGACGTGAGACGTAGAACGATAATCTTCGGACTTTGGAGAAACGATTCGTTTATATGGTGTGACCTAAGCATGGTGCGTACCTAAGCATGATACAAAAGTACAGTTAAATGGTTCTGTAAAAAGCAAATATAGAAGAACGTTTTCTGAGCCCGAAACGGTCGATACCGACTAAGTGTGAAATATGTGATGAGTTGAATACTGTCCGAGCAACTAAATCCAAAGGAGACAGCACTTATGATCCCTCATTGAAACCTTTAGTACAAAAGTCTGCGAGTAAGGCAACAAGGGTATGTCAGTAGCTCACAAAATGGATCATTTCCACGGAGATGAGCTCTATCTCAGTACTGAACACCAATCTGGAGGACCAGAAGACAGCGTGCTTTACTTCCAACCGCTGAGTGAATTGGTGGGACAGGCTTTCAAACTGCTCAAAAGCATCATCTAGTATGAAAACATAAATACCATGGAAATGTCCAGTCCTGTTGTGAGAAACAGATTTGATCAGAGGATTAGTCCATCACGGCAGCCAGCGATCCTATATTAACACTTGAAAGTAAAATGGCAAAGTGGGAGATATTGTGTGACTTACCCATGTGTCTTCGGAAAACGCACCACGTGATGAAACAACCGAATGAATGTAGGTTTCCGTGAGTTGATACATGAGTCGGCAGTGCAGGAACGCCGCAGTCGCATGGGGCAAACCAGACGGAGCAATTGTTAATAACCAATCCATTAGTGTGTGCAGACTCGCGCTGAGTAAGGAGGGATCTACGGAAAATGTATAAATAATGCAATGTTTGTAAATGAATGCTGCAAACGAACCCAACAGATCAATCGAAGGTTCAGACAGGAGGTCCGTGAAGGGGATGCCATGTGCTTAAACAGGATCAAGCATGTCAGTCTTGACGGTACCCTCTAATTTCTAGGGGAATGATGTTTATGCAAGTAGTGCGGGAGAACCAACAGAGGGGGCCGAAAAAGTACCCTGTGTGGTGGTCTACGTGACCTTAATTCGCACTTGTACCGACAGTACTCATCTGTCATAATGAACATTATTCAACACAAACGCTCTCTTGTCCGGACACTTCTATCGGGCCCAAATGATCTGCACACCAGACACCATAGAAGAAGAAAGGGATTTACTTTCCAAGGCGCTACAATCCAACGGTTACCCGTTGCAGTCTATTATGCGTCTCAGTGAAACGATCAAACGGGTTCGTGTGTCAACAGTCCCGAAGAAGTAGGTTACCATTGAACTAAATTTTAAAGATGAGCACGTTATGAAGGTCATCGAGAGACGGAGAAGGGCACCAAACAAAAGTGCGCACAATCCGGCGGAAATGCGGATGCTCACATCCGCAAGACTTATGCTTATGGGTTCGATTAAGACGCCGATGACGAGGTACTGTATGTCCCACTGTCTACATAAATTCACTGTTACTGTAGAGACAGCTATGTTGGGCGCACTGACCAAACTCTAGGCGTCAGAATCAATGAACACATCTCTAAGTGTACAAGGATTTCAGAACATAGGCGACACATATCACGACCTCCGCGAAATGAGCTAGAGTATGGAGCTCTACTCAGAGACTCGGCAATAGCAATGCATGCGCTAGACACGGGGCACGAAATTGATTTCGAAAATGTGGAGGTTATCAGGAAGGGATTACGATCAGCCAAACAAAGGCTGATTGCTGAAGCTATAGAAATAACCAAGGCTAACAACTGCGTGAATAGAATAGACGGAGTAGGGCTGTCTAGTGCCTGGCGTCCAGTCTTACTCCGGCCAGGTTGATAAGCATCGGTGGATGGATCCCAAATCGGAATGGACTATCGGCCCTCCCTCATCCATTCCAACCATTCCGAAGTACTAAAGCCAAGTTATATCAGTGACCAAGTTCCTTGCAACGGATCAAGTAAGATTGCTGACCACACACGTAACTATCCGCGGACCAACAATTTCTTTTCCCCATTTGACCCTGACTGAAACAAACCACAATGTACACACGAGTCTAGTGACCTTTGACCGTTGTAATCTTTTATCGATGAACTGCAAATTAATTAGTCTCTGAATGTAGCTTAGCCATGATCGTTAAAAAATGCCAATGTTAAGCTAATTCACATCGCCTGATGAAGCTTTTGTGTCAAAAGCGAAACGTTGTGTATCACCATAAATATATTAATCGGTCGTCTACCAAGTTTTCCGAAACATCCCTAAGTGGTTAAGCAGCCGGATGGGGTCTGTGACGACGGAATGTGTGGAATCGGGAAACCGAGCTGACTAAGTACCGCGTCAATCCTGATGAGTCATTCACAGACTTATTGCACGAGCAGCAGCCTCACATGCATAGGCTAACGGAAGCCATCGTTATCGATCGCGAGTAACCCCCGCTGTGCATTCAAAAACAACTGACTGTGGTTTTAAGCCTAACCTGGTAGCGCTAATGCGTGGCATTGGTTTCTCGTTTACAAATCATTGTTGCATGTTTTGCAATTGAGAAGGATGCACGTCATCTCACAATCGACGTCTACTGATTTTTCTGTTTGGAATTTAAAGGGAACTGCTTGCTTCAATTATATACAGTTTTTCGCAAGTGAATCAACGTGGTCTTACAACAGCGCATTGCACTTTGCAAGTGCGAACTGTGTGCAAATGAAAGGATCAGTGTTGTTCAGTAGACTTCAAATGAACGGAGACGCACGCGAAGAGCCGCGTCCCGCTAAAGTGCGATCCCTAATAACTGATAAAGCCTAAAACGGATTCTACCAACAACAAAGTGCAAACATATGTTGTGGTGGACTAAAGGCAGACGCTACTGCACCACTTATCCGGAGCGTAGAAAGGCCAGGATACGAAACGGCAACCAGACAACAGCGGGCCGTAATGAATTCCCCAAAGGAGAGGAACACTTTAGAACCGCATTTGTATGCGTGTGAGGAATGGACGCACAAGCAACTCCTGGACATAGAAGGAAACGATCGCCATGCAAACTCCAGCAAGGATAGCGAAGATGAGTGGATGTCTCGTTTGTCAGAACGGATGCACCTAGTATTAGCAATGTTGACAGAATAAGTATTCCGCCTGCATCACGGATTATTACATTGATGCCGTGACCAACCGAGGTGCATCATGATGACCCCCTGGTCAGAGCCGTTTGAAGTGGGGGATGGGAGGACCTTCTTGGAGGACTTCGAGGATGTGGCGGAGGCGTTTGTAGTCAACATCGACCGGACGAATCTGCTGGCCCTGCGGAGTCTCCTCAAGAGCAGGACGAAGGCAGTCCTGGAGGCAACGCGAAGAGGCCCCCGTCAAGTTGGTGGGCAATCGCGAAGGATGCGTTGGTCTCCGGATTGGACACACCGGCCGACCGCCAGGAGGCGATGCAATGGTTCAAGGCGGCACGGCTTAGTGTAGGAGCTGATCCTCTCGTGTTTGTTATTCACATCAGGAGCTTGTTGGACCTGGTCTTTCCGGGTATGGAGGAACAGCAATTACTGGTGGATCAGTTCATGTCCGGTATCACACAGCCAACCGCGGAACGCGTCCGGATTGCGAACGCTACTCGGGAATGGGGTGCAGGTTACACCATAGCTGGGCGATGCACCACACGCCGCGCTGAATGGAGGAACACCATGAAGGCGTGGAGCGGATGGATAAGTTGAAACGGATGATGTAACAGCTCGGTGAAGATGTCAATGGGCTTCGTGTTCAACGCTCGGAGGAGGGAACAAAGGGGTGCTGCTTCCTCTGAAAGAAAACAGGGCACTGGAAAAAACAATGCCCGGTGAGGCGCGCTGCTGCTCGCGTAGCAAATACACGCACTCAACCTTGCTTTTCTTCTCGGATCGAGGAATGTGTACTCGGGGCGCTGAGTAGGGGGCGATCGACGCAATGGTGGAAGTAGACGGAACGATGGAACGGTGTCTGATCGATACGAGTGTCGTGGTGTCACTGATCAAGCATCGGCGAGGCGAAAAGCTTCAACCATGCTCCATGGTCGTGAGAGCTGTTGGCGGTCACTCAGTGGTATGGCCGAACACATCGTAGGAATCGGGGAACGGAAACTAACGCACGTCTTCATCATGTCACCAGATGCGAAACAAACCATATTGGGAGCAGAGTTCCTGGAGTTCAACGAGGCTATCGTCGAGGTAAAACGTGGGAAATTGTTGACTGAATGCGGGTCGTTGCCATTCATTTGCCCTGGAGAAACGAAATCCTCATAACCGGTTGTTGCCGCGTTACATTTGAGCCCGACCTTGCAGTCACTGATCAAGTATCAAACCTTGTTTACAAGTGACGGCACCTAGTATGGAATTTTGTGAGTGGATCGAGCACATCATCCCGCTAAGCCGCCAGACGTATCGGCCCCAGGAACCTCGAGGGATACCAATCCATCTAGAGGCTGAGGTGAAGAAGCAAGTACAGGATATGTTGGAGGTGGATGTGATTGAAGAGGCGCACAGCCCATACAATCCTCCAGTGGTTTTGGTGAAGAAGGCTAAATGGAAGTAACGTTTCGGTGCGGACTTCCGAAGGTTGAATGAAATTTCCTTGAGTCGTTTCGTTTCAGTGCTATTAGTTGCTTGCTGACATTTTTTGATAGGCTGCAACAGTCGATGATATCACGTTTCTACATCTGAGATCTGGATACTGGCAACTAGCGATCAAACGAGAAGACGGAGAGTAAACGGCGTTTACCGTCGGTGAGAATCAATAAGAGTTTAATAGGATGTCTTTTGAATTAGCGGAAGTCCTGTTTGCCACCCGAGGTTTAATGCTGCGCTTGCTGCGTGGCTTGAAGAACGTGGCGATGTACGGGGATGATATCGTGGTGTATAACCAATCAGAGGCGGAGCACAGTGGTCATCTCTAAACTGTCTGGGAACGGATTCAGCAGTTAGGACCGAAGTTCCAGATCGGAAAGACTTGTGTCACCTTTCTGAGCCATAAAAGGGGACAAAGTGAACTGAAGCCACTACCTGAGAAAATATTGACAATACAATGCACCCCAGTCTCTACCTCGAAGCGCACTCACAGAGCATCCCTGAAACGTGCTGGTACTACAGCAAATTCATCTAGAAATTCAAGAGTTTGGACTCACCCTTGTGCCAGATGTTGAAAGAGGACAAGAAATTCAGTTGGACTACAGAAACCCAACAAGTCTTTGCTCCTCTTCTACAAGAAATGGGAAGGCAGGAGCGGACTCCAAAATTACTGGTGGTTTTTTGTGAGTATTGTAATTTTCGTAGAAAGTAGAAGCCACGATTAAACTGCACAATACTCTGCCTCGACGGGGAATGGAACCCCGGACACACAGATTACCGGTCCGCTGCTCTACCACTGGGCTGACGATCAGGTGCGCGACGTATTGCAGCGAACCGGTAATCCGTGTGTCCGACGTTCGATTCCCCTAACTCTAAAATTGCACATTGCCGGAGAGATGTTCATAGTGGCCACGGATGCTAGCTATGTCGGAGTCGGGGCGCTTTTGAAACAAAGCCATGGGACGGTTGAGTACGCCAGCAGAATTTTAACAGTGGCAGAACGCAAATATTCAACTATGGAGAAGGAATGTCTCGCAATCGTTTGGGCGTTGGATAAATGGTAACCAGCTCTGCTAGGTCAGCGATTTCACGTCGAAATGGGCCAAAAACCTGTGGAGTGGATTAAGTCTGACAAAGACCCCAGGGGGGAACTAGCGCGATGGGCCTTGCGCCTACAGGAATACGATTTCACGATAAAACAGGTGCCGGGAAAGGAGAAC